GGGCGCAGGTGCCGTGTCCATGACAACCGCGTTACCCTTTGGGCGGGGACCTGGAGGGGAATCTCTTGGAGCTGCCAGGCAGTCTGGGCGGGGATGGGTTCCTAAGCAGCCAGAATTGGTACGGGGCGGGGGATGGGGGGTAGGTGGGATCGCAGAGTGGGAAGAAGGGTCATTTCCACAGGGCGCTGACACGTGGGAGGAGGAGGGCGGCAGGGGCTGAGTGCAGCAGTAGTGGAGGCTGACAGGGAAGAGAGGTTTGTTGGGACCTGACGCCCTGAGGAGAGTTGGACTTTTAAAGAGGATGTCAGTGTTAAAACAAATAGAATTTTTGACCACTGAACAGCTTTGCTGAATGTTGTCCCTGTGGGAAGGCATTGTGACTCTTTATTTTACCAGGCACTCTACTTATGCATTTCAGATGTCCAAGGTGTTTAAGACCCGCTGTTTGTCCTCGAGTTTGTCCTCGACAGCAAGGAATATATACACCTGCCAGCCACCTGCACTCCGGCTTTTGGGTGGTGGAATGTAACGATAATTGAGGGACAATGGTACAAATCTACATAAAAGGTGAAACATAAGTTACAGTTATCTTTGCTCTGCCATAGTATCAAGTGACATTTTTTTTTTTTGGTAAATCAAAATGGGAAAATCAAGATAAATAAACCTATGGCAGTTGGTAGAGCACAGCTGATGCTGCATTCCGAATAAGATACCTCTTGGTACCCTTGCCCGCTAACATCAATGCCTTTGTTCATGCTAGTGTTTAGAAGGCTTTATACCACTTGGCACAGGCATTTTTAATGCCCACTCATTATTAGCTATGTCAGCTGTTTTTTCATTCCCTTGTTCCGAAGTTCACACTTGGAGTTAGAAAATTACGTCAAATTCAAGAATCTTTTATCAAGCTTATTATTTGAGAGTACTGCCTCTGTACATCCCTGTATCTCCCCTTCCAATATTGTCTTGCCTTTTTTTCCCTCTTTCTCCCCGCCACTTTAAGAGTTTTTAAATTTCTGGGAGAAAATGGTCAGGAGTCACCAGATAAATCTGAAAAATGTCCTTAACCAACAGTGATGTTTCAGGACCACGGACAGTATCACGGCGTGCTCCTCCCACCAAACGTTTTCCTTAGGCTCAGCCTATGGAAACAAGAGAAACACTCTAAAGAAGGTAACCGCTGTGCTTGTGGAAACAAATACTGAATGCTGAAAGATTTGTGCCAAACGACACGAAGTAAAAGGAAAAAGAAAAAGTATAACGTGGACTGGAACCAGCAGGAAAGAAGTAGGCCTTTAGCTAGATTTTGAAGAAAGAATTGATAAGATTTAGAGGCATTGCAAGACCCTAAAGTGGCTAGATGAGAACAATTTAGCTAGCGGAGTGCTTCAATAAAGAACAGAAATATCACACTTTACGACTACACAGCATCTTCCTGGAGGCAGAGGGCACCGCTACTTTTAAATATCCCAAGAATGTGGAAAGGGCAAAGTAGTCCCAGTTAAATGAGGTAGAACATTCACTTTTAAGATTGACACTTCATTATTATTGTTGTTGTTGTTGTAACTTTTCATTCTCCATTCAAACTAAAGGGGATAAAATGAAAAATATAGGCCAAAGAAAAATCAGACAGTTAATCTCTTAAAGTTTAGGGATTCATTTAGTTTTTACATTGTGTTAATTAGGCCTACATTTAGAATTCTATGTTTTAATTAGTGGCAGACAAGCACAAAAAGAGTAATGAGGACAAAGTATTTTTGCCAAGATAAAATTTCCCTTTTCATTTTGTTTTAGGTTGTAGTGATGTTCACACTTGTAAGATATTATTGAAAACATTTAAAAGCCATTTGTAAGAAATTCAAAAGCTTTTTTCCTATGCAACTGCTTTAAATTCATTTTCTTAAAAAAGCATAAAAGCCATCCCCAATTTCTTATACCCTTGACCTCCCTTACTTCTCCTTAAAAATGCACTAAACTGTTGTCTGTCAGAGACCATAAGAAGTTATTCAGGCAATGCACTTGAGTCAACAGCAAGCAAATTGCAGCTTGTATTTTTGCTACCTACCTACAAGAAATTTATTAACTAATTTATATTTTCAATGAAGGGGAGCCCCTTCCCTTCCCTATTTTGATGCAGAATCCAAATTAAGTATTAATTTACTCACATTTATTTTTCCTTAATAATAATCTAAACATGATGTATAAATGTCTATCACTGGATTCTAAAACGTTGTCATTTTGCTTATCCCCATTCTAAATCAAGGGGATAATTTATTTTGTTTTGAGACTTCTTGTGAATCTGACTATGTTCAATTATCCTGGTTAAAATATTGTCCTTCTTTTTGATGATATGAACATATATACAGCCTTCCAAAAAGCATTTTTCCCTTCCCTGTTCATTTTTAGACAGCGGAACCACTGAGCTAAATCCCCGGCCCATTTCCTGTTCATTTCAAAGATTTATGTTTATATCAACAACCAGCAAAACAGAGTAATATCAAATGTTTAGTATTGTGTCCAAATGGAGAGGCTATTGTGTTTAACTTAAATACAATTTAATCTGTAATGGTGGGACCATCTAGATTTTTATAAAATCTATATTTTAAATCAAGCTAACAATATTGACAATATGAAATTAAAATATCACCAGCACTTATACATTTAAATGTCAGATTTCTATGTACAGTGACCCCTATTTTGTCAGTTTCAGAAATTTCTCTAAGTCCTCCTAGGCCATTGTACTTTTTAATGGACTCTATTTTTTAGAACAGTTGTTGTTGCAAAAATTGATTGGAAAGTACAGATTTCCCATGTATCTCTTTGTTCCACACCATTTCTACTGTCGATCTCCCTCACATTTGTTACAACTGAAAAATCTAAACTGACATATCATTATCATGAAAGTCCACAGTTTAAAGTAGAGTTTTGTACTGCTCAGCTTTCCTGTGGCTGGGACAAATGCCTGATATTCACAAGTGGAAGGGAGGGGATGTTTATAGTGGTTCATGTTTTCAGAGGTTTTTATCCCTGGTAATCTGGCTCCAAAGCAGAGATATTCTGGCAAAAGGATGTGGTAGAGTAAAACTGCTCAACTCTTGGCAGCTGGGAAGGAGAATGGGTTGGAAAGAGCCTTTGTGGAAGGAACCAGAGACCAGATGTAGGTCCCAAGGTCACAAGCCCATTACCCACTTGGTTTAACTAGGCCCTGTCTCCTAGTAGACCATTCAGCTACTAACTCATAGATGGGTAAATTCAATGATCAGATTTATTACACAATCCAATCATCCCCTTAGGAGTCCTAAGAAAGTCTTGTTGACAAAAGTAACTGGCACAAGAGTTCCTTCTTGATTTTGTACATTCCATCAGTAAGGATACGTATCTCCCATAGAATCACACAGAATGATTTTACTTCCCTACAAATCCTTTGGGTTCTCTCTATTCTTTCCTCCACCAACCTGGCAATCATTTGTCTTTCTGTTCTCTCTATACTTTTGCTTTTTCCAAAATGTCATATAATTGCAATGATATAATAAGTAGCCTTTTTCAGACTGGCTTATTTCACTTAGTAACATTCAGGGAAGACGCCATACATTTTTGTTTCTTAGTAGCTTTTTCCTTTTTTTATCACTGAATAATATTCTGTCACTCTATGTTTTTATAATGAAGAACTCCCCCTTGCTTTAAAGTTTGGGGAATTATGAAGAAATCTGCTATAGCAATTTCATCTTTAAGGTTGTCCTGTGCATGTAAGACTCTGCAATGTGTTTGTTATATACCACTTGTGCCTCTACATTTCTCCTAACATGGTCAACCTTTTTCTTTCAAATCTAACAGTAAGTTTCTTCCCTTGTCTAAAGCACAAAAATAGCATCAACCCTCACTTTTGTTTTCCCTTGCTCTCTTTAGTATTCATTGTAATAATTGGCTTTAGAGTTATTTATTTCTATTAGAAATCTATCCATTCCAACTTCCCTTTTCCAGGCAGAATTTATTACTTATATTCTTAGGTAAAGATGCATGTGTGTACTATAATAGTTTACATAGCTATAAACTAGTCTTATGTTCATAAGTAAATATAATAGGTATCTTAAGAGATATGTGCATGAAATTTCTTCCTTAAGCATGTTGAAATATTTCAACTGCAACATTATATATGTTGAAGGCAGAATAATAGATGTCCAAATATTTCATTCTCCCATCCCTCAAGCCTATGAGCACATTATTTTACATGACAAAAGGAGCACTGCAGAGCTGATTAAAATTATATAATTTAAGAGGACAAGGTTATCCTGGATTATCTAGTTGGGCTCCATGTAATACCAAGTATTCTTACAATTGTAGAGCATCTTTTTAGCTATAGTCAAAAGAGATACATCAAAGATGTGAGAAACACATAGAATGTCAGAGAGATCCCAAAGTAAGAGAATAGCTTGACTGACAAGCCAAGGAAAGAAGGACGCTTCTAGAAACTGAGAATAACCCCTGGCAAGGAAATGTGGGACTTCATCCTACAAGCAAATGTACATGAATTCTACCAACAACCTGAGTGAATCCAAAAATTAATTATTTCCTTGAGCTTCCAGGAAGGAAGACCTACAAAACTTTGATATTGGCTTGGTGAGTCTCCAGAGAGAGAAACCAATCTAACCTACTAGACTTCTAGTGTAATTGGAATTTAATGCTTTGCTCATTTCCTATTAGAAATATTAATTTTTTTATATGTGTAAGGCCTATTTACTTAAAACAGTGTGCTTAAACCCAAAAAGTGTTATTTAATTATCACCAGGTAGGAAAATGGATAAAAAATTGTCTGTGAGATAAATTCATGTTTCAAACTGCTAAATTTATAATTTATTATAATAACAAAAGAAAGCTAAGAAAGCACATATATGAGCATCTATACTTGATCTCACATTCTGAATTCTGTCTACTCAACAATGACTGTGGTCAAAGAGCTTTGGTACACGGAAGCCTACATTATTGAGCCCTTGCAGAATTTCTACACATGCCTTTATAACCACTTTGCACATGACCTCTTTGATCAAGCACTGGAGTGTCTCGGAAACTGCTTTCTGGATGTCACCCACAGACCAGTTCCGCATGTACACAATTTCTCTGGTAGGTTAGCAACTCCTACTTAGCTTCTGCTATTCAGGACTCCCATAATTTCCATCGAAATCAGTCAGCCTATTTTAAAGTTGGTCTCTTGCAGTCTCATCCTTATCTAATGAAAGGCAGTCAGCACAGAACTCATTCTCTTAAATTCATTTTACCATATTATGGATAATTCAAAAATAAAAAATAAATTTAGAAAATACTGACAACTTCCAAAAATTGTAGTCATCTATAATGTAACCAGGCAAATATATTATATATTTTTCTGTGTAAGCTTGTATATTGGCTGTGTAAGATTTTACAAATTAAGATCAGTGTACTTTTTCACATAATATTAGATTTTAAAATAAATGTATCTTTTGCTTTAAAACAGGAGCAGAAATGAAACTATGTAGCAAATAAGGGGGTGTTCCATTTAAAACAGAAGATATCAAAGGACTATTATCTAGAATATATAAAGAACTCAAAAAACCAGCCCCCCAAATATAAAGACCCAATTCAAAAATGGGCATCTGAAATGAACAGACATTTCTCAGACAAAGAAGTAAAAGCATCAACTAAATATATGAAAAAATGTTCCACATCATTAGTCATTTGAGATCTGCAGATGAAAACAACACTGAGATTCCACCTCACCCCACAAAGAATGGCTGCTATCAAGAAATCACACAATAACAAATGTTGGCGGGGTTGTGGGGAGAAAGGAGCCCTTCTCCATTGTTGGTGGGAGTGCAGACTAGTGCAACCACTATGGAAATAAATATGGAGATACCTCAAAGAGCTAGGATTAGAGGTTCCATATGACCCAGCCATCCCTCTTCTGGGTGTCTTTCCAAAAGAATTAAAAGAATCATATCACAGTGATATATGCTCACCCATGTTTACAACGGCACAGTTTGTAATAGCTAAAACTTGCAACAGTCCATTTGCCCAGTAGTTGGAGACTGGATAAAGAAGATGTGGTTTTTCTATAACATGGAATACTACTCAGCCATAAAGAATGAGAAATTACAGTCATTCATAGGAAAATGGATAAATATTGATGATATATATTCCTAAATGAAATAAATACGTCACACATGTGTAAAGACTGAATAGTTTCTCTGGTGTGAAAAACTATAATTGTACATAAGATCCTAATGGTATAATTTACAATGTGAAATAGAAGTAAAGGGGCTAAAAGTATAGGGGAAGTGGGAAGGGTAGGGGAAAGGTAATAAGGGAAAAGAAAAAAATGAGAAGAAGAAAAAATAGAAATAAAGTATTTGCAAATAGGGAAGGGAGGAGTGGGTGAAGGGAGGGCAGGGGTAAGGGGAAAAATGAGAACCAAGACCTGTTATGTAAAGGTACAACTTCCCAATGATGAATGCAACTACTTTGTACACCTAAAATGCACCAATAAACTCAATGTGAAAAAAACAAAGAAAACAGAAGATGTCACCATAATCTCTCCAGTTCCTTTTTAT